CAGCATGCACCCTACCACAGCACTTAAAAATGCATTTGTTTTTGCAAGAAACAACATAAAACATTTTCAAAGTAAATGTTATAAAAAAGTAAGTCTGTTTTCTATTGAAGCTGATATTTTTGTTTCAAAACCTCGCTTCATTCAAAGAAAAATTGTTCTAAAATTTCTATACTATACTAGAACAACCATGTCAAAATGTTGACTGTATAGTTTCGCTTTAATTTTCAATCATCAAGAAATAGTTCTTAATTTTGTAATGTAATCAAACAGATTTTCTATATAAAACAAGCCTCCTGGTTTTTAGCAAATAATGTTGCAGTAGAACTCATTATTACAATAATCAATATTGTTCAATTTTTCGGTTCTTTCAATTCTTATATGTTGCCAATACTTTTCGCGAAACAGACGAGGAAAGAAAATGTAAAATCTTAATTTTAATGGCTACGGGCAAGAGAAAGTTAACAACCTTGAAAGATAATTTTCCAAGTGATGGTGTCATACTCCCAGTGATGGTGTCATAAAAATACTTACTTTTGTTTTGTAAAAGAGTTTAATGTTTAAAAGGAAACCAAAGTTTTTCAAATATTAGTTTAAAACAGTTTAAAACATTCAATATTCATTTATGTTATTTGTATGCCTTTTAAACTTGTTTTTATACCAAACATAATTGTAAATTATCAACAATTGTAAACATAATTATTCAGGATTTACTTATTTTTAATAACGAGAAATACAAAACTATAAATGTTTTTAATGTTTTTTGAACAAACAATATAAATAAATTATATTCTTCTGTACAAAAGGTTAAGAACTAGGAAACATGTTTCTACATCATCAAATAATTTAATAATTTAATATAAATGTAATAAAATAAAAAATGCAAGCAAAAATTTATTAAAAGAATACTTACACATAAAATAATAAAAAAAAATTGTTTTGCTAAACTGCAAAGTGAATTAATTTCATTAGGTCATTTCCATTTCTATGCGTGATTTTTTATTTTTCTTTTACTGAGAACTAAAGCAATACACATGAGATTTTTTTAAAAATAAGTTATAAAAAACATTTTTATCATATTTTAGGCCACCTGAACAAATTAAAAAAATTTATAACTTTATTTTTTTGCGTATTAATGCCGAAATAGTTTGAAAAATACACAATAATTTTTAAAAAGCAATACTCTAGCTAGAAATATTCGATGGCTGCTATTTGTCATCAAAAATATATTGAATATGAGTTGTAGAAGTATAATATTTCATTTGAAATACTCACAAGTAATTTATTTTCATAAAAATAATAACATGAAACTGATGAGTTTGCAACTTCAGTGCGTGACTTCCGCCCATGATCATTCTTGAACTGCATTTAAACGATTGATGTGGCTTGATGATACATAGTGCAATCCTTTTAATACCTTTAACTTTGTTTCTATTTGATCAAAAACTAGGTTTCATTTCATAACAAAACAGAACCAAAATTGTTTTGATGAAATGCTACTAATTAACAAAATTAATGAAAGTAGTTAAATTATCTGAAAACTATTGTAACAAATTAAATTTTCTATCGAACATTTTCTATTTCATTTTAATAAAATGATCAAAAACTTTGACAAAAAAAAAATATTGATTAGCTAATAGTTTATGAAGAATCGTTTGTCAAATTTTTTCCAGTTTATTACTGGCTATTGCCTTCTAAGCAAGTGTATTGGATTATTTGAGTTTAATTTTTAAGTCTATCACTGGCGTTACCATAAAAGTAAATACAGTTAAAATATTTGAAATCTTTTATCTGATAAAGAATGACAATTTAGTATTTATGGCTGATAATGGAATTATTGTAACGTCAGAGTTATCACAGCAATATTAAACTTAGCTGAGTAGGTCATAATCTGACCTTTGCTATTGAAAAGGTTGTTAAATCATACGGTGTTGACTTAGTTCACAATATAATCAAGACTTTAAAATAAGTTATGTGGTTAAAAACAGGAACTAAATTACACTTTTAAACAGGATGTTTTACTCGTTGGAATAGCCAAATTTTTTTTGCTACGTCAGTTAGATTCATTTAACTCAAGTTCATTCTTGCTGATTTAAAGGAGTTTAACAAACTTGAGAAATTGAACATTGTTAATAAAAAAAAAAGTTTACATCTCTTCTGCAATAGAAATGTTTATGTAACAATGTGCGAAAATCTAAACATCTACCAATCAATGCTTTAGACAATTCAATGTTTCAAACGGTTAGAGCATGCGTGATTTAAAGGCAGCTTTTTATTTAGATTTTTGTTGTGAAAACCAAGATTTTGTTGGTTTTAAAACGCAAAATTCTTACATAATTGGAAAGAGTTTGGTAGTAATAAATTGCATGATTATGTTAATCAAAAAACTTTGCATAATATAAGTAATGCTATTTTCACTCTCATCTCAGTTATGCTTGTTATGTTTAGGAACAATCCCAAACCTAACAAGCCCTGAGCTTGTCAAGTTTTGGAACTTATTTCCAAACGAAGCTCTGAATTTATTTTATTTTCAACATATTAATTCAAAGTCTAACATACTCTTTTTTAAAAAAAATCTAAAACTCTGTCTGATCTTGTTTATTTACCATATTGCCTATAAGAAACCAAAATCATAATAAATTACCTACTAATCACTAATTTTTTGAAATAAAGGAAAAATTGTTATTTTACTCTACGAACTGCTTGCAACTTTAACTTATCTGTTTTTAAATATTGAACTGTTCATTACGTGTATGAATCCATACAATATAAAACTATAAAAACAATGAACAATATCCTTCCTCAACTAAAATCTCTTAAACTAATTTCAACGTTTAAAACTCCTTTCTTTAACTACTTTTTAAAAAAATATTGTTTATAAATCTTATAATTTTTTATAGCTTATTATTTATAAGCCTAACTCTAAGCTTCTATTTATCTAATAATTTTTCTCTTTTCTTTTGTGTTATAATACTAATTGTAATATCTTTATTTAAATTTATTATTTTAATCCTTTTTAAACTAAAATATTTTTATTAATATTCTCTTCATCACTATTACTGTTATAGTTTATTTTATAATTATTCTGTTGTTAACTTAACTTTTGTTAAGCTTATTGCTGTCATTATTTTTATAACTTTTTGTTATAAAAATATATATATATATATAACATATACATGTTATATACATATATATATGTATATATATATATATATGTATATATATATATATATATATATATATATATATATATATATATATATATACATATATATATATATATATATATGTATATTATATATATATATATATATATATATATATATATATATATATATATATATATATACATATATATATATATATATACATATATTTTAGTGGGACGCCTCTGACTCCACAGTATTCCAATTTTGTGAGAAAGATGGAGTGATCTACAGTATCAAAAAAATTTTCCAAATCTATAAAGGCCCCGCATACAAAGTTCTTATTATCTAGAGCTCTTGTAATCTTCTCAGTAATTTCAATAAACGTGAGGATTGTAGAATGCTTTCTTCGAAATCCATATTGATGTTGGTACAGGTATTTAAAATTTTCTCAAAACTTGTATAGCCTATATATACCCTGTTGTATACCCTGATTAATACTTGGTGTTTTTATTCTTTCATCAAAAAAGCATGCAATATCAACTAAAATATTAATTATCTTGAAGTAATTTAAAATAATTGAAACACAGTTATTTGACAAATCTTAAAAAGTTTAGTTGTTTAACTAAATACGTATTTAAAACCTTGAGACTTGTTGATTATTTTATTAACTTTTATTAAAAATTCTCATTTACGATTTGCCGACTTTGCAAAATGGTCAATTACGCTTTCAAAATTTACTGAAATTTCACTGTACGCATTAAGTAAGGCCCATAAATATGTTCTAAGTATCAATATACCAATATAAATGAAAATATATAATATAAAATACCAATAAAAGATACGTATAAAGTAAATCTGAATTTTTTGATTTCGGTCCTTCGTGTTCTTAAACAGTCTTTAATTGCAAGGTTGATAAGCAACGTTTAGCACTGGCAACACTTACAGAACATAACTTAATGATTTAAAAAAATGATTTAAATTATAGATACAATTTTTAAGTCCAGTATAAATGTTCCTTTTTTTTTGAAACAACTGGTAAAGTCTATTTTTTAGAGAGAACACATGTGAGCACATCCTTAAGGCACAATGTTTTATTGTGTCTTTAGGATGTGCTGTACATGTGTTCTCTCTTTTTTTTTTTCTTTCTTTTTCACTTTCTCTGATTGATAACAATAACACTTGCTTTTGATAAAAATGTTCTCTCATTCTATTTAGGTCAAATTTTTCCAGTGAATTAATATTTGTGGAACCGCAACACTAAACATCAGCAAAGCGTCATTTCTCTAAACCCATTGTGTTTTGTTAAGTAAAAGTAGTTGTAAATTTTGCATGTTCATAATAAAATTTCGATTTCAGAAGCATTGAAATAATCAAAAAACTTTGTTAATAACACTCAAAAAATTATTTAAACAAAAAAAAACTAGAAATTTATTTGATTTATGGGGTTTCTGAAAAAATTGCTCCCTCCACTCTTACTTGATGGTCTGGATCCGCCCCTGCCATGAGTACAACATAAAACATGTATTAATTAAAGTTTTAAAAAACAGTTCAAACGCATATTCCGTGAGATCTACGTATAAATATACGTTTTTGCTTCCTCCAATACTTAGCATAAGTCTATTAAAATAGTGGTGATGTATGATATCTAATGAGACCTGGATGACAATAATTCATTTATTAGACTTAAATCTCAAAAGCTGTACTCTTTTTATTATGCTTATTGATATTTAAAAGATTTTTTTAAACTCACGTGAATAATTTATAAAAGTTTATAAAAAATAAATTTCGTGTTAATACAATTTTACATCAAGCAGCGTCTATTGCGTCCTTTTTAGAAAATGTAGGTTGCACTGC